CATTTCTCACAAATTTTCCAATTTCCCATTCGACCGAACCACTTAAACGGTTTGGTAAAAGAAATTTAAAATCTGGTTTGTGTAACTGTAATCAGATTGAGGCCGGTTCAGTGTCTAGGTTTAACATACTCTCACTCCAAAGTCTGACTCTCTCTCAACTTCGACGTCGATTTCGACCTCATATCCCATTTTGGTCTCGGGATTGACACAAATTTTGGGCCACTACCAATCGAAATATCCCTCAAAGTTCAATCGGAAACTCCTAGTAACAATTCTCCGATCTGATGCTTGTATGATTATTCTTCGATCTAGCTGGCTCTCGCTTATTAGTGTGAAGCATGTTCTATTTTTTTTTTTCTAATCTAAATGATCATTAAGGGTGGTTGTTGTTACTCTGTATATGATTCTGCTGAATAACAACATATTGATATTAGTTTATCGGGTAGTTTCTTCATTTTGATTCTTGACTGGCTAATTTTTGGTTTAATCAGAAACTTCAGTCACGGTAGAAGCTTACAAAATGAAAAAAAAACACCAGATTTTTGGTTTTGCAGACTTTGGTAGCTATGTTTTCTCTTCCTCTCCACTGTAGGAGCTTTTCTGTGAACTTCATGAGTAGTCTATTGTGTTCGTGTTTATATTCTAAATAGTTTTATGATAAATTCATCTTCTACTAGGTTTATGCAAGTTCCAAACGATTATAGTTTTGATATAAGTACTAGTACCAAACAGTAATGAGATTTTTTTTTTGTACTAGTCAGTGTCTAGCTTAATATTTAGTTGTTACTCGATAAGAGTTTTTGAAATAACAGTTTTCAGGTTCATACCTTGGAATTTTGAATTCAATTATGAGTCTAAACACTAAATTTATGTCTCTCTTCGAAACGCTTTTTAGGAAAGAAGATACTTCGAAGAAGATCCTAGAAGTTTCGGGTTTCTTTAAAAAACACGAAACAGAGCAAAGAGTTTACCAAAGTAACTAAGACATGGGTTTGTTTAAATTGACTCATTTGTTCAATTGTTTATCAGTATATGTTGTGTACTGCTATTATGATTGAGATCAAAGACCATGAAGATAACAAATACCAAACCACAACAAATTTTTATCAGATTTAATTCAAGATTTCAAATTTACAATCATATTCAAGCTCCAATACATCATAACCCATAAAACCTCATCATAATCAAAAGAAAGGGCAAGTAAAGTTGTATGCATACTATCCAGCTTCATAGCAGATGATAAAAACCTCAGATCTGAAATCTACAATATGAGAAACCAAACCAAACCAAAGCCTAGAGATTTCAACAAACGCATTTGAAGCATAGGGAAACAACAAGAATTCAAAAGAATGAAATGAAAATGATATCTCTCTAATACCAAACTCTTTCAATTTAGCGAACAAGAAAAGAGAGAGAGAGACCAA